AACACCGGTTGCATAGTGTACCTTTAAACCATCCTTCAACGACAGAACCAATGAAGACAAGGGTGGAAGATATCCCACCTGTGAATCCATCTCTATGAGATACAAAAAGACCACGTCTTCACGCTCGACTTTGATGGCTTTGTGGAGAGGGTACTCTGTTTTCGATTTGATCATCTTGTACAAAAGTTGGGCACTCATGGTACTGAAGTCCTCCTTCCGCAGATCATCCTGAACAGAGAAGCAACAAAGACATAAAATGAAGGCCACAAAAAAAAAAGTTTCTCTAAAATACGTTTTTTTTTTCTTCCAGATCAGTCTGAAATGGAGAATAGATCATCTCTACAGTAGAAAAAAGTAATATAACTGAGGATAAAAAAAAAAAAAAAAAAACTCACTCAACCTTTTAATTTGCTTGATTTTAATCTACCAAAACCTTCATGATGGTCTGTGTGTTTGTGATGAGGTGGGGCGATGGCTCAGAAAAAAAATATATATATATATAAAGCAAACATATAAACAACACAAAATAACTTCAATCAAATCAAACTTTTGTGAAATCACACTAAGGAAGCAACACTGATTGACAATTATTTTTACATGCTGCTGTACAAATGGAAAAGATAAGAGCTGGGAATTATTAGCAAAACAATAAAGGAGTGGTTCTGCAGGTGGGACCAACAGACCACTTCACAGTGCTTATGCTTTGTGCTGCTTTCACTCTGGTGAGCACGAGTCTGACTCTAAAACCCACACAAGTGGCTCAAGTAGTGAAGCCCATACAGGATGAAAGCTGAGGCAAGAGGGTTTGCCGTGTCTGTCAGCATAGTGTCCAGAGACTGGAGGCACAACCAGAAGACAGGCCAGTACAGGAGGCCGTAGGAAGGCTTTTGTGCAAAAGGGAAAAGGAGGAGCACTGCCAGAAACCTGCAAAATGACATCCAGCAGGGCACAAATGTGCATGTGTCTGACCAAACTGTTAGAAACCAACTGCATGAGGATGGCGTCAGGGCCCGATGTTCTGAGGACCTTCTAGTGTTAGACTTTGGAAACATGGAATCTGATGCACGAAGGCTGAAGTCTGTGGGAGTGAACTTTTAATGTATTCTGGAGAGAATGCACTGAAACATTTAGATGAATGTTGGAGAACTATAAGTTACATTTCTGGGGTTCCCTGATCCAAACCTAGAGACACTCACCCAGTGACTGGCGATGATCTCTCCACAGTAGTTCATTAGAGTGGTGGCGTTTAGCTCCTCAGCCGTTTGGTAGAAGCGAATGCAGTTCCTCACATTTACAGATGACATCACACCTTTTTCACACCTGTTCCAACAGACCGAAGGCGTTTAGTTTTAAGAGCAGTGTGTGTGCGTCAGGATAAAAGAGTGTGAGCAGTTTGTCCGACCGTTCTCTGAGCAGGTGGAGCTGAAAGCGGTTGGCTAGCTTCATCAGGTCAACGAGGAAAGCATCATCCTTGCTGAGTTCCAGCTGGTCTGTGTAGACCCAATGCAGCATGGCCAGAGCCACCTCAGCTTTGCAATCTGACAACCGATAAAAAAAATAAACAAATGTAAAAAATTATCCAGATCAAACTTCTCCCTTTGATTGAAATTTTGTGATTTACTCAAAGACAAATAAATATATCTGTTGGCAAACTTTGACAGTACACACAGCAAACACATCCCCAGATAAATATTGCGTTATTCATTAACAAAGAAGTGTATTGACCCACAGGGAGCTGAAGCTGGATTATAACCGAATGCAGAGCTGCCGTGGTAGAGCGGGATTAAAACCAGCCAGCGACTTAGAATCTGATTATTAGGATGGATCTAAATCAAGGCCCTGTTTTAGAAAGCTGGAAAGCCGTTAACCCAAATATAGTTACTCCGTGAACCAACTGTAACCCCCAGATTCCACATACTCAATCAGCGATCCACCCCACTCTGCTCACGTACATCATGCCGAGTACTTGTCTGTCATGTTAATCAATGAGAACTGTTCCACATCCACCACTACTCCTCCGCATGTCACCGTCCAATTACACCTTCTTCGTCAGTCAAAACACAGAGCAGAGTTATTTTTTGCCCCACTCAGTTCAAGATCCGCAATTCCAATCCCACCAAACAGGAAAAAGAACATAAAGAACATCCAGTTTTTCAAATAAAATATAGCAACAATGGATTGGTAACTACAAATTAGAGGATAATTCTTATAAATTCCCAAAAACTAAGGCCATTTAATTAAATGATCGGATGCAAACTATTGGTTTTTCAACATACCAGGAAGCAGATTTCTCATCTCCATCAAAATGTTTTTTGATGGAGTGTTAAAAATGCTGCCTTCTTTACTGTAGATGTAGGAGTGCAGATACTCCACGTGATTTCATACATTTTCTATTTCTGATATAATTGAGTTTTTAAAGTCACAGTTTTTCCACCAGAATCAGTAATTTATCTTGATCAAACTTCAGCTGCTTATGTGAAACAAGGATGTGTTCTTTGTGCAAAAATTATTTTTTTTATGATGATGTCAACCTGTCAGGGATGTAGATCTGAACCAATCACAGTTCAGTGCAGGTTCCTGTGGGGTCAGTTAAGATTTAGTGAGCAATCAAAAACCGTTAGCAATGTCAGATTATCTCTCCAGCAGAGCGAAGCGTCTTGGTGTAGGAAGCTGGACATGGAGGTCGAATAGAGAAAGGAAAAACGCTGTAGTCTGTTTCTTTTTCATTTATCGTTTTATAATCAGGCACAATTTAACTTTGTTTTGATTACTTTATTTGTATGAGCTTTTGATAACTAAGCCCAAATCTCATGAGAGTTTCCTATATTCTCACACTGACCCTGAACTCAGAGCTGAGTCATCTCGTCTTTTCTCTGGATATCTGCTTTCTTCTCAGACCGATAAGGCGGCTTTCTGAAAAGGATCATAAACCAGTGGTGCTCACCAGTAAGGTCCAGTTCAGTGGTGGATGCCAGGTTGGCCAAGCTCCAGGTATCACTGCGAGCAGCCAGCACAAACTTATGGGCACAGTACTGATCCCCCGCCACTTTCACCTTCACGTCGCTGCAAGAACAGCAGATTGGTCGTGATTTATCGAGAAAATGACAAAGAGGCATCTGTTCAAACAAGTGTGTCCTTCACCTGTAGTGTTCCTGCTGATAGAGGTTGGCCACAAATTCCAGCAGGCGGCTGATGAAGGTGTCGGCGTCTGCAGAGCTGGGGGAAGCCGGGCTGGAAGTCTGCGCGGCAAGCATGGCGCAGCGCCTCTCCGTGTCGGCCAGCCTCTGCTGCATCTTAACGTACTCCTGCCTCAGCAGGGCCAGGTGCTTCTGCAGCTTGGCCACCTCCTCTGTCCAACGACAAGGTCAAAAGAACAATAGGTTAGGAAGATCCATCTCCAAAAATAGATTAAACTTAACTGTAAAGCACTAAGAACTAAAAAAAAAAAAAAAAAAAAAAAAAAACAACAAGAGGTAGCTCTACAGCTTTCTATACTCTCCAGCTGATTGTTATGAAGGGAAATATGCCGTAAGAATATTTACAAATAACAAAAACAAATATATATAGGTGTAAGAAATTATAATTTAAGTATATTGAGGTATAACAGTACTTCTATCTGTGAGAATACAAGTTTAAAAGTTACATTTGGCTAAATTACAAGTTAAGATTACAAATGTAGAAGTAAAAATCTAAAACTCCTGATAAAGCTGGTGGTTGCTTATTGGCTGGTGGAGGTATTGCATCTAAAGGCTGATCGCCAACAGTCATTAAACAAGCAGAGGAAGAAGGCAACAACAAAAAAAAATAAAATAAAAAAAATTGATCAAATGGTTTATGTTAGCAGAAATGCTAATAGTGCAGTATTATGTTTTATCTATGGTTCTGTTTTTCTTTTTTCATATAAAAGGTGGCTGACAAAAACCATTGAGGTTTACTACCGCCCCCCACTGGGGAGGAGTGAAAGCTTCATCCTGGGTTATAGATTCTTGTTCCTATATTTTTGCTTAGTTGCTTTGGAACTTATTTTCCAATAGATGAATAATTTGATGGCACAAGTATGTATGAGCTAACAACAAGGAGAAAAAACAATCTAAATTTATTCGCATTATATACAATTTCAGACCCCAATTTATACAATGTTTTTCTTTTTAAATTGATGGGTATCTTGTTTTTTCATGATTCTTACCAATAAAAGGGTGTCATATGCGTTCAGTTCAAAGTTTTCCTGAACCACATTTTGCTGCATCCACAGCTGTCAGTCTGTTGGAGAATGAATACTAGCCTTGGACAACTAAATGTTTTCTAGATTTAGGTCCCAACTTTGTTAGCGCCCAGCGTACGCCCGATGTCCCAGAATCCCCTATAACGCTGGCATATGCTGAACTTTCTGTGAATTTTTTCAATTTTGGGAATTTACTTATATATTCATAACGAGTCCAGGAAGTATGTCCAACGACAACATAACTTATGCATAACGCATGGCAGATTAATGCCCATGAAATGATGCACAGGCCAGTGTCCTAAGGGGAGCAGTGATGCGCCCCGAAGTGCCCGATCTGCATAAAAAGATGCCTTTGATCACGGTATTAACCTAGCTGCTAAAAAGAAAGAAGGTTTGCAGTGGCAGCAGATTCAGCCTCATGTCTACTAGGACGTTTGTTGGTGGTGGGCGTGAACGCAGGGAGGATCCATCCTCACCTTCTAGCTCACCCTATGATGGGGATGAAGTCTGGAGGAGAACTGCTGGTTTCCTCTTGTGAACCCCTTTTATACCAAAATGCTGCCAATACGCCATTAAACAGTAGCTGGAAGCTAGAAACGCGTTCAGCGGTCGTCTGGAACATATCAGATACGTTGATATGCGATGGGGAGAAGTTCTTGATGAGTTATGCACAAGTTACTCAGAGGTTTTGGATAAGCTAGACACCACGACTTATGAGTAACTTACATTTCAATGATCAGATAACGTACCTGGAACTTATGGCATATGTCGAGACATACTTGTCGTATGTCGACGTGTGCCAGCATGCTCATAACTTATGCCAAACTTACACATAACTCCTCCACCATATGACAGCGTTTTCCGCATGTCAGGCATACGCTGGTCTAAATCGTCAAGGTTTGACAGGGCCTTTAGTTTAAAACCTCTACGCTGTAGCTCTGGTTGCATGTTAATAGTCACTGTTCTGTGCGGGAAAGTAACCTTCACCCAAATCTTAACGGTTTTACAGTTTCTATCAAGTTTCAGGCAGTATGTTCTTGTATTTTAAAATTAGAGGAGTACCCCCACAGCATGATACTACCACTGCCACGTTTTACAATTCAGCAGGTGTTTTCAGGATTGATTGCAATGCTTGCTTTCCACTACAGTGTTTTGCAAATAGGCCAGATTAAAGTCCCCTAATTTACAAGTTTATTCAAATAGACAGTCACTTTAAAGGAAACACATTATTTGATCCTATTGCTTTAACCACATTCCTCTCTTCTCTCAAGTTGAGGTGAAAAAAGTTAAGAGTGTGCAGAGTTCCTGGGGCTGTTTCCTTCCTTTTAGCCAGTAAAAGTTTTAGTGAAGCAATAGTGCTGAGGCAGCACAGTTACTGAGTAGTTCACTGGCAGAGCAGCTCCCTGGTCATGAGGAATAGAGAAAAACCACCTGATTGGCACCAAACAGGAAAGGCGACATAATAGGAACAGAAAGCTATGGATTCATCCGGGAGTTAAATCATTTCAATTATGCATTAAAAAAAAAGAAAAATCGAACATTTAAAGTCGACCTTTGTTTTTAATCCGAGCAGCTTAAACGCCGCTGGCTGCGGTGTTTTCCTTTAACGAGTCCAGGCTTATTATAGGAGGCGCCCTGAGAAGCTGGCAGCGATGCCAGGAGGAGCTGGAGGGACCCTGACAGCACCATGTTACCGCGGACAGGCGTCCTGAAGGAACGGGACAGGCAGCTAACGGTTGTTGAACCCAACTAGAATGGCAGCTCGGTGTAAAACATGACGCTGACATTATTACAGTCATTAAACATATTAGCATTCTCTCTGTAATTTCCAGCTATTTTTTTCTCTCTCTAAATGTTTGCTCCTCTGAGTCTAACGCAGCGACATTTTTTTTTTTTTTTAAATCTTTGCCAAGTTCGGCCGACTCATATCACAAATAATCGGCTAGCAGAGACCAACGGGCGCTAACGGCAGATTTTAGCCACTTGCCTGATGAGCCTGTGGATAGATAGTATCGCGGTATTTCAGAGAAACGAGCCCTGACAGCGCTACGCCTGTTAATCCGCCAGGGCTCTGAGTAACACCATTTAAAAGGTAGATTAATAAAACAAAAGCGGGTGCGTATGAAATAGTTAGGCATAAAAAAAATTATTATCTCACCTTCCGCCATGTTGCTCTGCTTCAGCTCCGCGGACCGATGGTGTCTATCGCGATATGATGAAGCGGCTCATAGTGGGCGGTGGTGCTGCGTTCAAATGCTTCATAAAAGCTCGTTAACTGAGGGATGGGTGGTCACATGACGCTTTCCCTTACGCCTTAATCATCCGAGTAGGAACCTGCCTTTGATTTTGTCTTACTTTGTAACTTAAATTCTAAAAACAATAAATAATTTAGACTTTCAGCATTCTAAAAATTATATGTGCTTTCTTGGTCAATGATCTAAAAGCCCAAATTACTTTCCTCACAATTTGAAATAACAGTTATATAATAAGTCCCTCTACTTGGACAAACTGAAAAAAGAAAAGAAAAGACAGATGTTTAATAGTTAGGGAATGTTGTTCACCTAGAGAGAATTTCTGTTGCACATTTTTTAATTTCGGGAAATCGCTAAGGAATTTGCAATTGTTTCAAACGCCATTCCACCAGGCCACATTATGGTCATTGAAGGCATCATTAGTCAGAAACCAGATCCTATGACAGGATCTGGTTTACAGAAGGATCCATTAAATGGGAGATAGGATTCCTGTCTCCCATTTAATGGATACTTCTGTTGCAAGACTTTCTCGTTGTCTACTTCCCTCACTTACTGGTAAAGAGACTGGCACAGAAGTGAATGCAAAAAGGTTTGGTCTCTACTTCACAATTTTCTATGGTTAAAAGTGGAGAGACTTATAAACCTGTCTTATCACAATTCAATCTGAAAAACTCACATGTAGAGAAAAGACAATTAGGAAAAATTTATTGACACAATTGCTTAGTCTTTGGCGCTCAGACCTCAGCAGGAAACATAGCGCTTAACTTTGATAGATATGCATGAACAGGAGTGGAGTGGAGATAGATGAAGTTGGTCAGTCTGCTGGTTAGCGAGACGGTCTGCTGAGCTTTATGGGGAGATCCAGTGGACTGCATGAGCTGATACTAGAGCTTAACTCAGGGACCTGGAAGATGGAAGTCCAGTTGGATAACACAGGTTGAGAGAACCTGTCCATGATGAGCAAGCATGAAGCAACAGTAGAGAGGAAAAATTCTCAGTTTGGAAGAAACCTCTGGTAGAACCAGGCTCAACATGGCGGCCTTCTGCCAGAACAGTTAAGATGAGACAGGGAACACAGTAAGAGTCTGGGAGGAATGACACTTGAATCTTTAGCTACAAAGGTGGAGGAGAAGCTGGAGGTGGGTTGAAACGGTGTCATCTGAATAAAGTCACACGAGTTGCGGATCAGAGGCCTTTTAAGATGAACTTTGGATGCCGACTGGCTTTCGTGGAGGTGTGGTTCAAAGCTGATTGGCTGTGCCGCAGGTGGATGTAGGAGAGCAGTTAGTTTCTTCAGTTGAACTTCCGACTAAGCTCCATTATGTACAATTATTCCTGCATTCCTATTTCATTCATTTATTGTATTAATCCCCCCCCCCACACACACACACACACTTTCTTTTTGATATCATGTACATTATTTAACAGTTGTTGATAAAAACTTTCATTGAATGAACTGATAACTTGGTTAAACCACTAGTTAAAAAAAAGCTACCCTTCTCCATTAAACCCTGGACTGATCCAAGATTGTTTGGGGCCCACTCATCCACTGTGGCCCCAATAAAAGCCTTTTTTAAATCCACCAAGCTTGTTTGTTGTTGATTTAACACCCTCTGATCCTTGCTATACTAGCATCCAACAATTAAATTGGCAATATTAAAAAAACATGTATTGATGAAATTCTTAGAAAAAATAAATAGCAGTCTGGATAATCTGTGTCTGGTTTGGCCTTCATGTCTAAAGAACCAGGTTTAAATGCAGCCTCAGTGAAGCCATGGGAATGGGCTGCAGCTGGGCTTAGTGGATTTGCTTCATGTACAACAAAAATGCATTTGAAGCTCTTAAAAAAAAAGAAAAGAAAAAAAAATGAAGGTGGGAATCACCATGTACAGTCCTGGTAGTACTGAATTTTTTTGGGAAACTACACCAAAGCCAAATATATAATTTATTTTCTGCCTTTAAGAACAAAGAAAAAAATATCACTCAAAATGAAGTAAAAATAATTTGACTGCAGTTTCACCCCTTATAGGGCAAGTGACCGTCTTTGATCACTTGCATACCCTTTACAAATGGAGTACCCCCCATCCCTCAGTGAGGTCTAGAAGCACAAGATCTATATCCATCCATTCAGCAAAGATGCTGCTACATGACTGTACATCTTATTTTGGCATTTGACCAATTAGATTGGCCCCTAAATGATATATTACCTAATGTAAATTAAGTTGGAAAAAAAAAAGTTAATTCAAGAAAAGGTAAAAAGCTAATTAAAAAGGTAAAGTTAAAGACTAGTTAACAATTATATTTAGGTTTATAAACTGGAAAAAAATGTAAGTGCAAGAATCAGCATTAATGTCTCTAAGTTTATAAACCAAAAATATGTGTTTCTTTTACTTTGAGTGTTATTCATCAATTTCTAATAGAAGCATTTTTTTTTTTTATATATATATTTGGGAAAGTTGGTGTTTCTTGTCATTACATTCACATTATTTACCATCAAAATATCCATATTTTTTGAATGTTACAAAGAGAATAAGGTCTTGTCCTGGATTCCAATAACACAGGCTTGAAATTTAGATTTTCAAAGTGCCCTATAAAGGGTTAAAGACCTCAGAGAGCTGTTGCAGCTGGCCAACTCCGATGAAATACAGCCCAAGTGGGACAGCTGTCAGTTAAAATACTACAAAAAAAAATGTTTGGGCAAAGCATAGGCATAGTGGATAATCCCAGTCCCAGTTTGTATGTTGGATGCTTAAATAACTAAAAACAAAACAAATTTCCAATACATGTGATAAAATCATCGGTACAGGGCAGAAGCTGCAGCCCACACAACAGATACATCCATCCCATCAATCCCAAGACCACAGTTTGATTAGTAAGACAATAAATGACACACCAACCCACTGACACTGGCCCATTCATCAACTGATTGATGGGAGAATCTTGTTTTTTCAGTAGCGAACAGGTGAACCAAGTACAACCGTAATCTTCATTTGATTTAATCGCCCTGGGGTTTTTTCTTCTGAAAATAACATTAGTTCACATAATTTTTCTAATGTATATTTCATACAGTGAGAAGGTTTGGGGGTATAATAATATAGTTTCATATATGTGATTATTTTGTTTTACCACAGTTCTTTGAAAATAAGTGTAAAAGAACACAAACCAAGAGTCTGATTGCTTTTAAATGTTAGCACCATTTCTGGCTAAAATAACATGCTTTAATGTATACAGTTGTAAAGTTTGAAGCAGTGTTTGGTTTCATTGCTCAGTCTTTTTTGATTTTGCACTTAAATAATTTGAAGCAACTTGTTTCAATTTATTCAACTAGGATTTATGTATGTGAAACGTTAAAGACTGAAGAGCTCATCCGCACTGCACACAGAAGCCGGTCAGGAATAAAGCACACAGAGACATGGCAGATAGAAGGAAGCAGAATCAAAGCTGAAAAGACACGTGAAAAAATTCTCCAAATTCAATGAAAAGACAGGGACAAGTCATTTCTGAAAAATTATGGCTGCATCCAAAATGTGATGAATCTCCTTTATTCTCCATACATGTGGTCTGTGTGGTTTGGCTGAAGGACCTGAAGTATCTGAATGAAAACAGAATCAGTACCTGAAGCTAAACTCTCCAGAACTTTATGGGACGTGTGTAAAGGTCCAGCTAACGTGAAAGATTATGGGCTACAAAAAAACAAAAACAAAAAAGCATGCTTGGTACAAAAACACCAAGAAGTGAACAGTGACATAAGGTAGTGGCAGCATTATCCTGAGGGGGGTTAGATCCTTATTTTTCAAGGTGGGAGATAAACAGGAATGATTCATACTGGAAACTGATGTTCAAAAGCTAAAAATGTAATTTTTTCAGCATGACAACCTCAAACATGTAAATACTGTCAAAATCAGAAAACATTTTCAGAATAATTAAGTCATATCCTTAAATCTAAGAAAACAACAGCACACCTGAACAGGGCTGTGGACAATAGAAGTTCATCCATCCAGATATCAAGTCAGGATTCCTGCAGTTATTTGGGAAAAGGGATTTGTTTTGTTTTAAAGTGCATGTATACTAGCACAGCTTGACTCCTCTCTGCCCCAAACAGATCTGTTTCAATTAAAATTTATAAAGGCGTCATTTTGCAAAAAACAAACACGCCTTTTTAGAGATAATATGCGAAAAAACCAGGCATCGGCCACCAGCTACACTTGAACCAGCAATTAACCATGGTGACGGTTGCATCATGCTGTGGGACTGTTGGAATGCCAGGCAGACGCTTGTGGCTTATAAGAAGAAATGTGGAAGTCTGTCAATTGCTTAGGAATAATCTAAAAGCATAAGATAAACTTTGAAACTTGAACATTAGTGATAAATTCAGTACAGTGACATAAATCATGACCTAAACCTGCTTGTTAAATGGAAAAAGCTTTCCTTTAAACCCTACAGACAGGGCAGGGGAATGGGTAAAGATAAGGCTGTGCTGATGTCTTGTCCTTTATAGTAGAAACCAAATCTGGAGTTGAAACATCAGGTAAGCCGTGTAAAAACACAAACGGTGACTTATTTTATCTGGAAAATTTAAACATGGAGAGAAATTAGATATTTCTGCATTAGATGCTATGTAACTTCAGAAAATATGGAACGCATGAGTGGAAACTGATCTGTAATGTTTATTCATTGTAGTAATTAGACTAAATTGACTTTAATTAGATAATCTCAAGATATTTTCGTTTTCATAATCCATCTTTAACCAAAATCTGTCCTGAGATTTAAGACAAAGAAAACATTTTGATAGTTATCACCAGCCAATGGAGATGAATATTGAATTCAGATTTGTAACATGGCAGGACAACACACCTGCTGATTCTGTAAGTTTCCCCACCTATAAAAGGGAGAGGTCTGCCATATTTGACATATATAAACTTTATCTGTGAGGCAGAATCTAAAATAAAACCCAGAACGATATATGGTTTAATAAATGAATGAAATAACAAAAATAAATTGAACTTTATTGATCTCAAAATGGAGAAAACGACTGTGTGCATTTAACCCATTCCCTTGGGGAGCAGTGGGCTGCCACTGTGCGGTGCCCGAGGAGCAGTGTGGGGTTAAGGGTCTTGGTCAGGGAGCCAGAGTGGAGGCTGTGGGGATCAAAAGCAGCTACTTACAACCTTCTCAGAGCACAAGCGCACTGCTCTAACCACTAAGCCAACACTTCCCTTGTTTAGCATTTTATTGCATAAAATAAGCATTTGACGTAGTTTGGAAACAGAACTTGATGTTTGGTATACAAACCTTTATTTAAAATTCTAGATGCAGATAGTTTGTGTTGTAATGGACGAGGTTTAAGCGCTGCAGCAGAGATTTTGGCCACTCCTCCATTCAAGTCTTCTCTAGAGTTTTTGACTGCAAAGCCTTCAACTGCATCCTCCAAGAAAAGCGGCTAGTACAGTTCAAGACTTTAAACTAGATTTTAATAGAGCAGCTCCAAGTCTCAGGTTTATATCAGGTTGTCATGCTGGAAGACCAAGCTACAACTTATCCTCAATGTTTAAAATGAGAAAAGGACTTTTTGGCGAAAAGCTCACAATCCATTGCTCCATCCAGTTGTTGTGTCCCCCTAGCAAAAAAATAAATAAATAACAAAAAAAAGAAGCTTTCTTCTCCCACCAAGCTATCGCCCTATGGTGTGCTAACTCTCGGTTGGAAGCCGATTGGAACCATAAACAGTTTTCCTCAATACAGCCAAGTTCACAAATATTACAGCTGAGGAGTGAAGGACAGGAGAGCTCCTTTAAGTTAAAAAGCGAGACGCAGTATTAAAACACTAATTATTCATGTTTGCAATTTTTTTTTTAGATTCCAGCTGGCCACAGTTGAAGTGCACCTATGTTGAAAGGTAAACAGCTCTCCAGTCTAAGTGTGGAATACGTGCATAATCGGCAGAGATGTAAACACTTGTTTCCACTGGAGTGAATTTTGTTTCATTATTGTTGAAAGCAAAGAACACATTTTGTAAACATATGTTAAAAAAAAAAAAAAATGTAACCAAGAAAATAAACTTTAAAAAAACATCTTAATCAAAAAACGATTTGAGCGTAACTTGACTGTCTCACATTTTATTGTTTTGTTTTTTTCTTCTTTAATATCTTTTTTTTTTGGGGGCTCAAGATTCTGAAATTGCATTATATCCAAACTCTGGACAGATTTCTACTGGTCTGCTAGATGTTAGCAACAACAATCTAATTGGGTTTGAAAAGAACCTGAGAACAAAAAAAATTATTTGAAAGCATGAAATCTAGAAATAAATTTTGAAAAAACTGAAAAAATAAAATGGGAAATTTTGAAATGGTCCAAAAATGTTGTTTTTGATCAATAAAACCTGAGAAAAAGCAAGGTTATTCTAAACTTTGTTTTATTAAGAATATTTCAATTTCAATTTCTAGATTTTTTTTTTTAATAAAACATGTTATTTTGCTTGGAACAATAATGGAAGTCACTCCATATTTCCACAGCTGCATTTGCATGACGTTTGGGAAAAAACAAAGCCGAACTACCCAGGCTTATTGAAAAAAGAAAGGTCATGTTTCAGAAGAACTCACTACAGGTGAGGGGTTTCATCAGAAGAAAAATATACATCAGCATTCTGTTTTGTACACTGAGCATAACTGCGCTAGATCAGAGGGTAGAATTAGCATATTCCTTGTGAATAAGGGCAAAGGACGCCAAAACAAAATGGCCACACCTAAACACCGAGTGGAAACACTCCAACACTTTCAAAAGAAAAAAAAAAACAAAAACAAAAAAAACACCAAAAACATCCAAAGGAGAAAAGAAAAGAAAGCATGCATAACGGCTCCTATGAACACAGTAAAGGGAACAAATCGCTGGTAAAATTAACTAGTAGGACCTCAAATTGTATCAGCAAATACAAATGAGCAGATACAATCTTTGCTAGGAGGGTTATTACTACCAAAAACTGTTACAAATACCCTAATTATAGATTCCCGATGTACCGGCTATTAAATTAACTCATACTGTATGACCATCCATCCATTATCTGACACGCTTGACCCAGTTGGGGTCGCGAGGGGTGCTGGTGCCTATTTCCAGTAGTCAATGGGCGAGAGGCGGGGTACACCCTGGATAGGTCGCCAGTCCATCGCAGGGCATACTGTATGACAATTTCTCCAAATACTTTGAACACTTAGTAAATACAGGGGGGAGTGGCCAAGAAATTTATTAGGAGGCACTTTTGAAAAAAAAAAAAAAAAAAAAAAAAAAAAAAAAAAAAAAGGTAACAGCATGCACAAAAAAGACAGGTTTGATTGAGCCAAATTAAAATATGGTAAGACTAAGAGGCGAAAAAAAAAGTCCAGGTTTAGATATGATGAGGTGAGATCTGGGAGATTATAAAATCCATTCCAATATATTCTGGGGTTAATCCTCAGGTGAGTCGCTCAGACGGCCTCTTCACAGATGATGTTCCTCCGGCAGCAAAATGATTAAGACCTCCTGTGAAAACAGCCTAATGACATCTATCGCATGCTGGAGTTGAGAGAAGACAAAAATAAATCTGTCCATACCAGCACTAAATATTTGGTCTAAATGTCTTGATGGATGAAAAGGGAGCATATATATTATCCGGTTTAGTCTGTGCTATATACATGTCTTTACAATATCCTCCTGAATGTTGAAGCAGTTCAGAAACTTGAAAAATGTTTAAACATCTTCTGGGTGCATGTTTTCTCTTTATTGTGTGTGTGTTGGCACTTGCTTGGCGATTTTTCTGTCAGCCTTGGTAGTCACATTAATGTTATATTGCAGCCCATAGTGGCCAGTCTGTTCCAGCCTAAATGGAGGAGGACGAGGCTGGCGACAGGGTGGAAGAGTGCAGGAAACAGTGCCATCTTGGATTTCGTATTGGAGACCTTCAGAAGAAAAAAAAAAGCCTATTGTTTAAAAGAAAAAAAAAAAAAGATACAGATTAAAATCATGTTAAACAAGTAATCTCTTAAGATTAACACATATTTTGTCAAGTTTAAACCACAAATTCAAATCAAAAGTAGTGATATGTAAAGAAAATCTCAGTAAAAATGTGCACAGTGTTAAAATAAGTTTTATTGATTGAAGCCATTCAATTAACCTTTTTGTGGATAAAGAAAGCCGTTCCCTTTGCAAGGCTTATGAACAAATAAAATCTAATTAGATTCAAAATTTATGAATGACCAAAAAAAACTGATTTCCAATTTGTTCTTCTTTTCCTTATTCCACCTTTTCCTTGATCAGGGATTTGTCCCCATTTTAATGAGCAGCTACATAAAACACATCTATAGGGTTATCAAACATATCGGGATAAAATACTAATCTGGTTTGATATTGATACTAAATAAACGTGTTTGTATTTTTGCTGTTGTTTATTTTCTGATTTCTGGATCACTTGCAGATTATATTATAAACAACCTTAAAATATAGTCAAATTTTCTTAAATTCGGGTTGTTGACTTTGTATTTCTTTGCAAACTAACCAACAACTGCGATTCTGTTGAGAATGGACTGCCTTTGGCTATTTTTTAAGCCCATGGTATTGAGTATTGAGGTTGAGTTGGAAATGTTTGTATCGTGAGAAACCTAGAACTGTGTTGTAAATAACATTTCTGATTAAAGGTATGGAGGAAGATAATTTATCTCCAGGTGGATCATCTAAATAAGTGGTCCTCCTAATTGTCGATCATTCTGGTGATATATATATGTAAGGACTACGCGCTTGTCCCGTTGGCTATCTTTTTCTGCACATGCGCACTTTCAGCCATATATGTGTGGTGAGCTATGGTTTCATAGAGTCATTGAAGCTCACCTTTCCCACCCCGTTCTTTGAAAATGGCCGAGGGTCGTAAGAGAAAAAGTGTCTACAAAGTGCATGAGAAGAAAGAAAAGCCTCAGAAGAGGCGCAGAAAGCTCTCCTCACAAAGCATTATGCTGTCACAGCGGCCCTTTGTCGCCATATGCTGTTGCTACCCGACAGTGGAGCTAATGACAAAGAAGCACAGGCGCTGCATGGTGGAGGAGTCTGTGACCAATGGAGCAAAAGGCAGTGATCATCTGTCTGAACGGTCAGCTAACGGAGTTTGCAAAAAAGTCCACTATATAGCCCTGCTGTAGGGGGACACAGTGAGTTTGTATAAGATATGAGAACAGCCACTTTTAAACAGGGCGCGCATTTTATCTTATTTTTTTATGTGGAGAGGGCCGGTCTTTTAAAAAAATCTTCCACATTACCTTTAAATGTGAGAACATCAAGGAAAGTGTCACAGTGGCTTGCCACAGACATTATGGATTTATGCTCAATTTTGAAGCGTGGTCTGCGATATACGCTGTGGGTCTAGATACGGCCGAGGCGATGAGGAAGTGGGGCGAGTTTAGTGCGACAACGGAGGGACATGACGGCGAAAATAACGGAGATCCAGGTGGGAAAAGGGTCCCCGCGTTCCTGTGCACATTGGTCTTCTAGCTGGTCCAACTTCACGAGTTGTTTTCTGCAATTTCAGTAATAAAAACAAAACAAGCCAGCCTCCTGTCTGCGGCACTGTCTGCGCTCACCTACAATTTGGGAGAGCTGCAGCAGAGTGTCTGCGGAGGGGGCGGGGACGTCTTTTTGTTCACTGCGACGCCTACGCAGACGACCTGGTTTCGAAGTATAAATCAGCCTCAAGACACCAAAGTTTTCACTCCAGCCCTTTTGGTGACAGCTAAAGTTGGTTTGCAGCCACACAGAAGAGGAGAGTTGCAGCTAGCACGAATATCCATGCATGATAGTTTTTGATACTTTTTCACACAGCGGTGACAGGACAGTCCTGCAACAATTGAATCTGGACAAGCAAGCTTTCAAGGTCATAAAAAACTGAAACCCTTGAATGAAATGTCTACATGTTTACAGATAGTGCAAACGAAAATCGCACTATAATCACAATGTTGGTTGAATAAGTATCGGGATTTAAATTTTTGATAAAATCGTTGAACCCTAATAAATACTGATATGAACAGTTAGCCTGGTAAACTAGCCGCACCCGCCAGCGGCCAAAATCATTTTGGCCTGCGAGTGGTCTAGCCTCCATCAATGCCCCAGGCCCTAGAACTGGCGGGCCAATCACAACGCAGAGATGTGTTTTGAATTTTTGGACGCAAAGCGGGCGGGGTTTTGAGGGCGGGACGACAAAGCTGCGCGACGCTTGAAAAAGCACAACAAGGAAGATGGCAACAACTATTAAACAGTTCTCATTTGACTTATCTTTGGAATCAGTTTTGGAAAGATTAAACTTGGAGTTTTCGTTGAAACATGAGCAGGAAGAGGATCTACGCTCATTAATTTTTTTAAGAAGGACGTATTCGCCATTTTACGGACAGGCTGTTTGTTTACTTTCCCCCAGCAGCTTTTTGTCGCGCTTCCTATGTCACAGTCAGTTGCACTCATTGGTCAGAGCTTTGGCCAATAAGCACAGACATGGTTTGAAAAACAACAGGTTGTTCTCATTAACAATCTTTCGATGTTTCATTCTTTGGGGCCAGACTAAATTACACATTTAATGTCACATCTAGTCTGGTTTATCAGAATAATGAGCAGTTTTATTTCAAACAAAACAGACTTGTAGACTCAGTATTGTGGCTGTTTTTTAAACTGCGATCTTTTACTATTTTTTTGTGTTTTTATTATTATTAACTCTAATCACCAAGCTCTTACATTTTCTTTTAACATTTTTTAGATAATAAATTATGTTTATCTTTGTCTCCTATGCTGCTCAAACAAACTGCCCCTGGTGGGATTAATAACATGGCCTAAATCTAAAACAGTAAGTAGCCTTTTCTTCCTAGCAACAGCAAGCATCTTTAGGCTAATAGCTGTTTGCTTCAAGATTAACACAGTCATGAATGCGTTCTGGCAGCAGTAGCAGAACTTCATATGAGCTAAGCTACTTTATCTTCACTGCTCATATTGAGAAAAGTGAGGCTTGAATGAGTTTCTAATCAGTTTGCAGCCAATGTAAAGCTTTTTGTCTTATGTTTCAAGCATTTTTAACAGAAAAAAACCTGTCGGTTAATGACAGATATTCGACTCTCTATATTGGGGGCATCATGGTATTAAATCTGCAGACATTAATTGTTCAAAAAGTGGGCGTGCAGGTGGTGCAATGGTTAGTGCAAATGACCAATGTACAGAGGCCTTTGTCCTCAACGCAGGCGACAAGGGGTTCGAATCTGGCCTGTGGTCCTGCATGTCTCTCCCCCTCTCTCATACCCCCTTTCCTGTCAGCCTACTGTCGAAAAAAGCGAGCCACTTGTGCCGCAAAAACTCAGAAAAAATTTTTCAAAATGTGCATGGAGAGTGGTTTATCCGTGTGTGTTGTAAATAAAACTGCTCGTACTGTATTTAAGAAGCGTGTGCATTTATGTCAGAATTCTGACTTCATACCTTTTAGCATCCATCTCTGGTCTGGCCTGAGCATGGTGCTGCAAGCTTCTACACAAATTTTTTGGGTATGTCACATCGAAAACAAAAACTCTAGTTTTGAACCCCAGTCTGCCTCAGCAGATGGCCGCTCACACTGAGCCTGGTTCTGCTGGAGGTTTCTTCCTGTTAAAAGGGAGTTTTCCTCTCCACTGTCGCTACAAGCATGCTTAGTGTGAGGGATTGCCTTTGAGTCAATGAGTCAATGCAATCAACTGGTTTTCCTTGGATAGAAAAGTTTGAGTACGGTCTGGTTGAACTGTAAAGTGCCTTGAGACGACATGTGTTGTGAATTGGCGCTATATACATAAACTGAATTGTTGCATCAGGTGGGAGAAATGCTCTCTTTAAAAATGCATTTAGAAACGATCTGGAACTGCCAGAAAGAAACGTAAGGAGCTGAATTGCCAACTACACAGAGATTCTCAGAAGGGAGAAGTTTGCTGACTACACTTTTTAAAGCAGGAGTTTCCTGATCGTTATTAACGAAGGAGTTAAGAGGAACTCAGTTACAAAACTACTGCAAATGCCTTTTCAGTACAACACAAGAGGAGTATCAGATCTAGTGCTGCAAATAACGATTATTTTGCAAATCGTTTAATCAGACAATTATTTTTTCGGGTGAAACTTAAACTTTTCCACTTGAGCAGTTCCACTAGATAGAGCATATTGACAGACATTTTTTTTTTTTTCCATTTTCACAATCTTGGCATAATTACTGCTCTAAGAGGGTCATCTGTCAGCTACAGGCATGTTTAACAGTCTCTAAACTACAGTTAACTATTAATTGATTACTGAACTAGTTGACGATTATTGAAATAATCGATTAATCACAATCAGCCCTAATTAAATCTACATTTTAGCAGCTGTAAATAAAGCACAAATGGATGCTTATCTACTCTCACAGTAAAAACACAAGAGCTCTTTTTTTCTTTTTGCAAACTGACCTTTCCATGGGTTAAACAAATGCACTAATTTCCTATTTTTAATTAATCCCAACACATTTCTGTCCTTCCTTTCCTTTACACTTGTAGACGTTTAATAATGAATTAAAATCAGATTTCCATAAGATAAAAATAAAAACTAGGAAACTCAAATTGAATCTGGAAATCATATGAAAGGCTTTAAAATGAAAATCAGAGTCAACATGAAGGATTTACTTTCCTTTATATTGTTTGTTCCAAGAGGCTGTAGGATATTGACTGAAGCGTTTTAAAACTCTACAGTTATTCTCATATCGATCTTTAAATTAAACATCGAACTCATCAAATTACCTCAATATAAAATAAAGCTTTGGTTTGAGGAGAATCAACTGAAAGCTTCTCACACTATCCAACCCGATCAAATGAATGGTTAGTATCTAACCTGCTGCATCCATTTCATTATAAATAAAGTAGCAGTTTGTTCTGATAATTTGAAGCTGGAAAAGTGGGATCCTTACCCTGAAAACAGAAAAGAAGCTAGATCCTGGATAAATATCACTCGAACGCCGTCTCCTGGCTCTTTCGTACACAGCGGGCAACTTTCCTTTTGAATGCTCCGTGTCTGTCTTCCCTCCACTCTTTCTGCAAAAAAAAAACAAAAAAACAAAAACAAACCACTTAGAAGATCAAAATGTTTTAGCTTAATTCAGTTGGCATTGGATTAAAGCCCAGTTAGTGCAACAATACTTGATACTTGGTATGATATCACTGTTGAACCAATAAATGTTTGATATTAAATTCCAATATCGACATATTGTGGTTAAGAAAACACTGTTTCTTAGGAAGCTGACTTACTGCAGCATCCACGTTGGCAGGCGAGTCCCCGTTTGGGTCTGCCAGCATAGAGATAACACTAATCATGATGGTTTCCACGGTGTGGATGGGCAGCCAGCGCTCCTCTGGTTTCTCATAGCCGTACTTGTCCTCACCAGGTTCGTGCAAAATAGAAATGCAGACGTCTCCGCTCTTGTCAACTAAAAACAAAGCAAATAAATTAGCTGCCATTTGTCACTAGTTCCACTCAAAGTAAAGATGTTTAGAAAAGTTTTTAATCGGGTTTTTCAGCCTCCTATGAACACACTAGGTCAGGGGTTGGCAACCCATGGCTCTGGCGCTGATAGTTTTGTTGCAAGCATGTAAAAAACATTCACAGATAGAACAGGTAGAACTCTGATGTGTATTAGGGGTGGAACAGTTCACAAAATCCACGGTTCGGTTCACGGTTTCGTGGTCACAGTTTTCGGTTCGGTATATGTTAACTTTTAGGAAAATCTATTATGTCTTGTATAGTACAACACGTGTTGCACAATGCTTGCACACTGTTGCAATTTTATCCACAACTTTCTTTCCGCCGTCATCGTAGGTCAGCAGACACAGATACAGCAGACCTATAAAGTGCTGCTGGTGCGTCTTCCAACTCCTGTTCTTTCCCACTCGCCATACCCACACAATTCTCCACAATAACTGATTCTTTCTGCTACACCCGGCTACGCTGCTTCGCTTCTTCTTCTCCTTGTTTACTACTGGTGGTTGGCTTTGGTCGCAGTACCGCCACCTTCTGCTCTGGAGTGTAAACGCTTCGCCTATGAGAAAAAGGAGCTGTCCAAGAACAGAACGCAACACACGCACACCGAACCGAGACAGTCGAACCGAACGGTTCTGACGGTTTTCATAAACCGTTCCATCCCTAATATGTATGTGAATTTTCTTCCATGAAAATGTGGGATTTTAGGGTTAGAGCTCTACTCTGATGGATGTCAGCTCCTAATGGTTCCTTGTGACTCAATCATCGCCTCCCAACAGAAACACGTCCACCATAGAAAGATTCCTTTATCATGTTTCTATAATTTCATCAATGCAACAAAACCTAAACCGCGCAGTGAAGGAAAGTGAAGCGGCGCATTGTGGATTCCACGCGGTGAGAGCATTCATTGCTCCTCCCTCACCTCATGCTACTATGTGACATTTGCTCCAGGATAAACATTTAATCATGAATGATTATTATATATTTAAGCCCATGTAGTCTTTTTTTATTGTTTGCTAATACACTTACAGTAGAGCCCTTGTTGCCATATGAGGCTCATATAAGACTTTCATATTTTCGGTTCCAGATTTGTTTTTCGTCTGTGGTCTGATGGGATTAAAATAGGCTAATTTGTTTTAGATAGTATTTAGTGTGCGGCAACAAATGTTTTGCTTATAGATAAACATGGCGGTGGGAGCGTCATGGTGTGGGGCTGCTGTCTTAGCGGACGTCAGTGCTAACACGTACTGTGATATATTGAAGCAGAACCTGATCTCTACCTTTAGGAAACGGTCAGAGAGGAAAATGCTAACAGGATCACGACCCCAAACTCACCACCAAGACGACCAACTGCCCGGCCGAAGAAACTAAGTAAATGTATCCGACTGGCCAAGCGGATCTAAACACTACTGATCATCGCAACAGAAGGTGGAGAACAAAGTCTCCAACATCATCAAAGTGCCAATCAGAGGCTTAAACTACTTCATAAACACTATNCTGCCATTTGTCACTAGTTCCACTCAAAGTAAAGATGTTTAGAAAAGTTTTTAATCGGGTTTTTCAGCCTCCTATGAACACACTAGGTCAGGGGTCAGCAACCACTATGTTTTCTAATGCTGTAAACATTTGTATAATAAATGCAAAAAATAAATGTAAACATTTCAACAAAAATTTGCACCATAGAGATCAGATCATAGCCTGCAACACACGTTTCAACGCAGGTCCCAAAGGGAAAAAAGGAAGGTACCTGATGAGAACAGAGGATTTAAGAAAGAATGGACCAAATCATTTGTAATCAAGAGTACCGTAAATTGGAAAGGCATTTTCAGGGAAGGCATGCTAAATTTGAGAGAAAAAGTATGATCGCAGATCTTCTGTATAAATGAGAGGAGAGCAAAACTAGATTTAAGAAGTGGATTGCATCTCCTAACTCCACCACTGCTGATAGTTTTGTTGCAAGCATGTAAAAAACATTAACAGATAGAACAGGTAGAGCTTTGATGTGTATTTTCTTCCATGAAAATGTGGGATTTTAGGGTTAGAGCTCTGCTCTGATGGATGTCAGCTCCTAATGGTTCCTTGTGACTCAATCATCGCCTCCCAACAGAAAGACGTCCACCATAGAAAGATTCCTTTATCGTGTTTCTATGATTTCATCAATGCAACAAAACCTAAACCTCGCAGTGAAGGAAAGTGAAGCGGCGCATTGTGGATTCCACGCGGTGAGAGCATTCATTGCTCCTCCCTCACCTCATGCTACTATGTGACATTTGCTCCAGGATAAACATTTAATCATGAATGATTATTATATATTTAAGCACACGTAGTCTTTTTTTATTGTTTGCTAATACACTTACAGTAGAGCCCTTGTTGCCATATGAGGCTCATATAAGACTTTTATATTTTCGGTTCAAGATTTGTTTTTTGTTTTTCCTGTGGTCTGATGAGATCAAGATAAGCTAATTTGTTTTAGATAGTATTTAGTGTGCGGCAACAAATGTTTTGCTTATAGATAAACATGGCGGTGGGAGCGTCATGGTGTGGGGCTGCTGTCTTAGCGGACGTCAGTGCTAACACGTACTGTGATATATTGAAGCAGAACCTGATCTCTACCTTTAGGAAACGGTCAGAGAGGAAAATGCTAACAGGATCACGACCCCAAACTCACCACCAAGACGACCAACTGCCCGGCCGAAGAAACTAAGTAAATGTATCCGACTGGCCAAGCGGATCTAAACACTACTGATCATCGCAACAGAAGGTGGAGAACAAAGTCTCCAACATCATCAAAGTGCCAATCAGAGGCTTAAACTACTTCATAAACACTATTAAAAAAATTAAAATGCAATTTCTCACTAAAAGAAATGATACAGAAAACTTTAAACCTTCTTAAAATGTGAGATGTGGCACATTATTTTTTATCTTCTATCCAACATGTTTTTCCTTTCAGTTTTAATTACAAACAGAAACACAAAAATCCAATGGCTTTAACTAAAGAACTGATTCATTTAGGCAGTTTAATGCAGCAGAGAAGACGATTTAAAAAATCTAGGAAAGTTGTACTCCATTTTTTGTGGTCTAAATTAGTATTCAAAATAAATCAGTAAAATAAGACTATTTTACTGCACAGGTTCAAAGTTTGAAATAAATTTATTTACAGAAATTGATTGATTACCCCTAAACATTTCCTGCACACCACCCTTTCACATTTATGACGAACATATGAGCGTGTTTTTGGCTCTACTGCAGGGGAGGGGCTGGTAACCTGCGGAGCGCATGCGGTCGGTAAAGATAAAATCTCTGAGTGAGACGGTGACGTTCAAACAGCTCCTGAACAAAACCAAGGTATTTATAGCTGCTATGTCCAGGAGATCGTAAAGTACAGCCATAAGCCACCTTCGCGTTTTACAGAATACGTTCTAATTATCTAATCAGACCGATCCACGCCCAACCTGTGTGAGATTATAGTAGATCAAGGGCTCTGATTTGGCTTTAGGGCCCCTGAGTGGACCGGCTGAGGTGTGGGCAGTGCTATCCAAAACTTTAATAAGTTTCACTATTGTCTGATGGGTCACTGAGACGTCCTCCTCATCGGTCTCTTCCTCTCCGCCCGAATCACCATCATCAATATATTTCTAAAGCCTGTTTCGCTTTTAGATCTTTTCTGAAAGCCGTTTTTCAGTATAGTTTAATGCTACCGCAAGCAGCAAGAGCAGCAAAAATGCGCTTGCTGTTTTATTTATGATGCTTGTATAAGTTTACTTCTGACACGCGGATAAATCAAATTTGCTGCTCCAACTGCGCGGTGATAAAGGGGGTCCGATAGGCATTGGGCGGAGTTAACCTATCCTTTCTTTGTCTTCTGTCCGTCCCCCTGCCAGATCCAGATAAGCTCCTCTGATTGGTTGATGTGGCGCATTGAGCAGCAAAATGTACTTTTTTCCCCAACTCCAGCAACTACTGCTTCTGAAGCGCATCGCGTGCATCAGATGCTCAGAACCTCACGACGTGCCGCTCCTGCTGCTCAGATGCGCTGCGGGACCTTTTGCTGAGCCTCAACCTTTGACTTTGCATTTAAACTAGCTGCTTCTGCTGCTTTAGGTGTGAACGTAGCAAAAGAGATGGAGGTAGAATGTTAGTTGCTAGGC